GTCAATCCCAGGGACCAAGCCTGTGCTGAAAAGAGTTAACAGAAAGTCATGTGCATACCTTAAAGTTCACATTCTACTTAACACTTTCACTATAGGCATCTTTTTCTGCACATATCATGGGGTTTTACTGAGTTACATTGAAAATTTAATTACTTTCTTATTATAATATACGAATAAACTTGGCAAAAAAACATAGCTAATAATCCAAATTTTAATATTATATAGTTCTCTCTGACATATAATAATATATTATTTATAATCAATAGAAAACCAAAGTTTTAATCTATCAAATGGCATAATATTATATTACAGTTTTCTGTACAGCCTAAACTTTATTCCCATGGGAAACACATTGACAAGCTTAGCTGGATTTTGAACAATTCTAGTCTGTTTTTTGCATGTTATTATTCTGTGTTCTTTGGTGTATTATCTAATTAAATAAAAAATTATTTAGTGCAGTAGTAACATTAGTATAAAAAAGTAGGTTTACATTTTGTTAACAGTCAACAGGAAAAAAAAAAAGACAATCCAGGTAAGTACTTTATTTCTTGTTTTTCATCTGCATTCTTTATTTATTATTATAGAAGTAACTAAAATGTAAAAATTAGAAACGTTTTAGATTACATTAGGTAAAATAAGTAATAATGATAATAATAAAAATTTTTCATGAGGTATGCTTGAGAACAAACTCATGATTAGCCCATTCATTATGTAAATTGATAGGATAACGTGAGCTACACTTTCACCAAGTGATTTACAAATTTTATGGTGGGAATATTAGTTAGACCTGGTTCAAAGAGCAATAAAACAATCAAATTTAACTATAAACAGAGGTATACTGTTATGAGTTTAAATCTATTTAGGATAAACAAATGTAGTTTCATGTTACAATTTGAAGTCATTCTAAAAAAAAAAAAGAGAGAGGGTAATTTACCTTTTAAAAAAAAACCTTTGAAATTTATTTAGGAGGTTTTAAGAAATATTTCAAATGAAGAAAATCCTTTTTAATCTTAAGATGAAAATGACTGCAATTGGAGCAGTCAACACTTTAACACCATATATTCATGGAGAAATTTTTATGGAAAACACTTCATTAAGAATTCTGATTTTTTTGTTTACAAATGACTCTTAATGGCTGTTAAAAGCTTGCAAAATTTCATGAAGAGAAAAAAACATATTAGAAGGTATCTTATGAAAAATTTAAAGGTCAGTTTGGGGTCAATTTTTAAGTTGAATTGACCAAGCTCATAGTGAGTGAGTTAATGTGATGATAATTATTTTATGCTCCCAGAAATGTATTTTTGCAAAAACAGTTTGAATATGAAAAAATAATAATAAAACAACAACATACAAAATGCAAACTATGTCATAACTATTATAATTTTTCTGTCTTTCTAACTATGCAATTAAATATTCTGCTAATTCTGCTGTTTCCCATGGGAATAAAGTTTGAACTGGAAGCGAAACAATTAATTCTCTGTACATAAAACAATGAAATATAACACCTCACTTGAAAGGTTAACACTTTTGCTTTCTATTGGTTATAAACAATATCATAAATAATAAACGTTAGAGAACTATTGGCACTATATAAAAGTGAGTGACACACGGGCATGGCAAGAGGGGTCAGAATTTTTTGTTTATGGCTCTGTAACCAAATAAGATTGAAGGTTATAAAAATTATGTTTTGCCTAAGTGATGAAAACATTATGAGTAATTTATGTTAAATTTATTACTTCTTGGAGGAGTGGTAAATTCATTAAAGATGAAAGGATAACTAGATAGTAAATGTCACAATTCTCATATTAGGGGAACTTGAGGATTTTTTTTAACATTGCCTTATAAAATTAAGAGCTTAAAACATATATAATTTGGATTATTAGCTACATTTTGATGCCAAGTTTATTCATATACTATGATAATAAAGTACTCTAATTAAATTTTGAATGTAGATCAGTAAAACTTTGTGACATGCGCCGAAAAGGATGTTTGTAGCAAGAAGGCTAAATCAACACAGAATGGTAAGACAAAGTCACTTTTTACTGCAATGTACATACCTGGCTAGACACCCACTATAAAACAAATATTACAGTTTAAAAATAACCAAAACTCTGTTTTTCTAAATAATAGATTGATCACTCCATAATGAATACCATACAAGTTGTTGATTTTTCTACTAATTCTACACTTATCTTAAAGTCAATCATTTATTATATTGTTTACCTCACAATAAGCCTGATGACAATTAAATAAACCTACTGTGTGTGCTAGATGAAAAAGTGTTTAAAACATTTTACTAATCAATCTATTACAGCATATCTTTCATAACCGATAATTCAGTTTTAAATTTTGATAAAAAATATATTACTGAAAACCTTACAGAAGTTTGATAGACTGTATATTATACTATATTTCAGCATAATGCTACAATTAATTATCAATATAGCATGCACACCCACTTAAGTTAACAGGACATAAGCAACAGTATATATTCAAATGCTATAGAGGCAGCTCAAGTTGAACATTAAAAAACAGAACTGCCATATGTGAGAAGTGAATAAAATGTTTAACAAAATAATTATATGTATCCATTTACTACTAATTAAATACAAATCGTAATAAAACCTATTACAGCAGAAATAAGAGATTAAAACTATTTTTTTCATACGTTGAATAAAATATTATTTTGAAACATTAGATGGTATATTATAAAACCAGTATTACTGACTTGACAGTGAAATATGTGTTCTGGTGTGGTCTTCTTAAACTTCATATTCCAGATAAGACAAACACCATCAGGGTCATGGGGAACATCTTCATTGTTATTATAAGATGCCACCAGTAACTCGGGAAACTAAATAAAAAATTATACTAGTTTGTCTAATTTATGCAACATGATTGTCTTTGTCCAATAAACATTCAAATACATTTTATCAGTTCTTTACTTTTGTTAAACTACTACAAATTTACATAGAAGGTTACTTCCCTAGATGTCTAATGAATGGATGTTAAGGATTAAAATACTTTATCTGTTGTTAAAATGAAAACTTATACTTAATGTGTCCAAAACCTTCTGTCTGCACATTGACACATTTTTTTAACTACTCTTTATCAGAGATTCACTTTGTTACAGGTAGAACGGATTAGAATAAAAAAAAATCCTCAATTAATTGTCGTGAAAGACTGGATGCAAAGAACATTTTTCTTCTTCTAGCATAATCACTTAATTATATGGTATTCTCAGGTGCACTAACAACTTAAGGATAAGTGTAGTAACTACATTTGATTCAGGAATATCAGGAAATATATCATTGAGTTAAATATGAATTCTCTGGCTGATCCACTAGAAGAGATCAGTGTCAACTTTTACACAGAGTAATTTACTATAAAGCAATTTTTATCATGAGAAAGTGCATGTCATACCATAGAGGAATGGCCCAAAACAATAGGTAATAAGAGTGAAATAAGTCACATTCCACAGCCAATATTCTATTGTGAAAACTACACAAAAGGCTAAAAAGCACATTTATAAAATTATTTGAAAGTTCTGGGTAAACATTAAATGCTCATTTAATAAAGCTAAAAAAGACAGCAAACACTAAATATGCTTTGCTTATTACAATACTATAATGACTCCTAAGGCAAATAAACTTTTTCTTATATTTGTAATGTTAACATTTTCCTTACCTGAAAATGTATTTCAGATAGACATTCACCTCTCCACAGAATTAAGAACTATTACCTTGCACCACTGCCAAAAAGTTTTTGCACATGCACCAAGCCTTTAATTGAAACTCTCAACCCTAAACTTAATAACTTATTATGTCAGTCTATGATGCACTTTGCATTAGACTGTAGCTCTCCACCAATAGAAGAGTGATACATCCTCCACCTGTAATATTCCCCCTTTAGCACATAGTGTATACCAAAGGCTCCTTCTT